GGGAAATATAAAGAAACACAACCTCCAGCATAGGCCTACGGGAACCAAGATATGCAAAGAATAAAGACAAAGCGACAACAAAATAAAAGGGCCTACAATATCGATTCGAGAAGATAGGCCTATGAAAATATTAATTTAAGACACTATTCCTTTTTTTTTCATCCAAAACATTTCAATACACATGAAGGGAAGAGAATTTGCATAGGCCTAGTTGTGAGCTTAAGCCAAGGGAATGAGAGGAGGGAGAAGAAGAAGAAGAAAGAAGGAGGAGGAGGAGAGGAGAAGGAGAGGAGAAGAAAAAGGAGAAGTAGTAGTAGAAGAAGAAGAGGAAGAAAAAAAGATTAAGCCAAGGGAATGAGAGGAGGGAGAAGAAGAAGACGAAGACGAAGATGAAAAATAATAATTAGAAGAAACAATGCAAGGTGCAAAGGAGAACAGAGAAAGATAGAAACATAAGTAATTGGAAAGAAAACACAGATAATTGAAAAAATGATAATTGAAAAAAAAAAAAAAACGAAAAAAGATGGATGTATAGGCAGGTAGATAGATGGATACTTGAAAGAATACATACAGAAATAGACAGCTAGATGTAGAGAAATAGAGAGAGAGACAAAAAGACAGAAACAAGCAAAGAAAGACAGAAACAGACATTCCGAGACATTCCTACAGACACAGACATTCCGACAGACATTCATACAGACACAAACAGACAGACAGACATTTAGACATCCAGACACAGACATTTAGAACTTCAGACAGACAGACAGACAGACACAGCCATTTAGAATTCAGACACAAACAGACAGACATTCAGAACTTCAGACATCCAGACAGACATCCAGACACAGCCACAGACCTCCAGAACTTCAGCCATCCAGACAGAGCCCCAGAGCCAGCCAGCCAGCCAGCAGCGCCCCGAGAAGCGCAGGTGACCCCCACCTCCGCAGAACAGCCAGTCATCACCGCCCGTGTTTATCCGAGCGCCGGCGACCTTCCATTATATCACAGACTATTATGGCCGGGTAATGAACGGCCGTAAATGGCGCGCTGTTTACTCCGCTACAATCGGTTATTTTTATTCATTTAAGTTTTTTTCTGTCTGTCTGTCTGTCTGTCTCTGTCTGTGTCTGTGTCTGTGTCTGTGTCTGTCTCTCTCTCTCTCTCTTTCCTCTCTCTCTCTCTCTCTCTCTCCTCTCTTTCTTCTCTCTCTCTCTGTTTAGATTTTTTATGGGTAGGTTATTGACTCGAGAAAGAACATGAGAGACAATTATTTTGCTTTTATACTTGCAACACTCATGCACACGCACACGCAAACGCTCGCACACACAAACACACACACACACGCACACACACACACACACACACACACACACACACACACACACACACACACACACACACACACACACGCACACACACTACATATATCCTATCAACAAATCAATTTTATCTCTTTATTTACTTATATTGGTGGGGCTTCATCTGCCTAAACTAGATAAAAAAAATTATGTTCTGCCAAAGAGGATCAAAAACGCCTCTTTTTGCGCAGTGATTTCGAAAGAGAGAAGCAGGCGAGAAGAAGAAGAAAAAAATGGTTAAGGGAGAGGAAAAAACAACATAAAATGAAGAAAAGAAAATAAGTTTTATCTGCAGAAACGAAGGCGTGAACTAGAAAAAAACCTATGGTTTATGAAAAGGAGAAAAGGAAAAGAGAAAATAATGATATACGAAGATGAAAGAGAAGAGTGGAAGTAGTGACCGACGAAGAAGAGAAAGACTCAACAACAACAACAACAACAACAACAACAAGAAATAACTTCACTAACGGACGCCAGGCTGAAAGAGACAACGGGCGCCAAGTACAACAGAAGTCAAAGGGAAAATCTCTCGAAAATGCTAGCAACTGCATCCACTGGTATGACACGCAATAAACAGGAAGAAGAGGAAGGCGAAGAAAGAGAGGGAGAGGAAAAGGGAAAACAGCTAGAGATGCGCAGAAGATAAGGTTAAACGGGGAGGTAGAGAAATGGCTCAAAGGATAAATCTAATTGTAAAAGGGAGTTTAAAGGGGTGGAGTTTGTTAATAAATGGATAAAAGAAGTTGAAATGAGGAGTAGGAGTAGAAGGAGGAGGAGGAGGAGGAGGAGGAGGAGGAGGGGAGAAGAGGAGGAAGAGACAAGAGAAAAAAATATCGAAGAACGCAGGGAAGGAATTGAAATAAGAAGAAGAGAAGAGAGAGAGATGAGAGAGAGAGAGAGAGAGAGAGAGAGAGAGAGAGAGAGAGAGAGAGAGAGAGAGAGAGAGAGAGAGAGAGAGAGAGAGAGAGAGAGAGAGAAGAGACATAGAAAGAGAGAATCAGAGAGATCAATCAGAGAAAGAAACAAAGACAGACAAAGAGACAGTCACATACCGACAAACACGAGACAAAAAGAGGGAGAAAAAAAACACGAATAGATGAAGAGTCGGAGAGACAGAGGGGAAACACACACTGAAGAGGGGACGAGGAGGAGCTCATAACGATCCGAGGGGAAAATCGAAATGTGTGAGAAAGCAGACGATAAAACGTCTCTTGGGGCGGTGTTGGGGGGGAGATGGGCGTGGGGGTGGGGTGGGGGTGGGGTGGGGGGGGTGGTGGGGGAGAGAGAAGGAGGAGGGAGGAGGGAGGGAGGGAGGGAGGGAGGAGAGAGAGAGAGGAAGAGAGAGGAGGAGGAGGAGACGGGAGAGGAGAGAGAGAGAGAGAGAGAGAGAGAGAGAGAGAGAGAGAGGGAGAGAGAGAGAAGAGAGAGAGAGAGAGAGAGAGAGAGAGAGAGGAGAGAGAGAGAGGAGAGAGAGAGAGAGAGAGAGAGAGAGAGACAGAGAGAGAGAAAGAGAAGAGAGAGAGAGAGAGAGAGAGAGAGAGAGAGAGAGAGAGAGAGAGAGAGAGAGAGAGAGAGAGAGAGAGAGAGAGAGAGAGAGAGAGAGAGAAGACGACAACAGACAGACAAACAGAAACATAGACAGAAAAGAAACATCCACAGATACACAGACATAAACAAAGACACAATCAAACAGAGACAGACACAAGAGTTCCCGCCGAGCAAACACACACACAACACAAAAAAAATCCAACTTGACTTATTGATATGTGAAGTTTAATGCCACGACTCCGTTTTAACAATGGATTCGTCATCTGAACGAACGCCTTTGTAGGGTGCGTGTGTGTGTGCAGTCATGTGTAAATGTGTAGGTATGTGTGGAGATCTGTGTGCGTCTGATATGCTATGTAGGCCTATCTGTGTGTGTGTGTGTGTGTGTGTGTGTGTGTTGTGTGTGTGTGTGTGTGTGTGTGTGTGTGTGTGTGTGTGTGTGTGTGTGTGTGTGTGTGTGTGTGTGTGTGTGTGTGTGTGCGTGCGTGTGCGTGTGCGTGTGTATGTATATGTATGTATAGCTCAATATAGTCATATCTCTGTGTCATATAATTTATATGTATGTGAACATGGCTTCCACGCCTGTGCATTTCTAAGATCACACGTCTATGTAAGTGTCTCAGAATGCGTGCAAGTGTGTGTGCGTACATGTGTGCGTGTGTGTATGAGGAGTGGCGAACGAGACGCGACTCTGAGGAGGAGTGTCGAGAACCTCAAGTGAGAGGGGAGAAGGAAATGGAGGAAGAGAGGAGGAGGAGGAGGAGGGAGGAGGAGGAGGAGGAGGAGGAGGAGGAGGAAGAGGAGGAGGAGAAGGAGGAGGAAGAAGGAGAGGAAGGGAGGGGAGAAGAAGAAGAAGAAAGAAGAAGAAGAGGAAGAGGAAGAGGAGGAGGAGGAGGAGGAGGGGAAGAAGAAGAGAAGAGGAGAAGAAGAAGAGGAGGAGGAGAAGAGAGAGAGGAGAAGGAGGAGAATAAAGTTGGAGGAGGAGGTGGAGGAAGAGGAGAAGAGAGAGAATAATAATAATAATAAAACAATAATATAATAATAATATAATATAATAATAATAATAATAATAAATAATAATAATAATAATAATAATAATAATAATAATAACAACAACAATAACAACAACATAAACATTAATAAGCAGCAGCAGAAGACGAAGAAAAGGACAAGGAGGAGGAGGAGGAGGAGAAGGAAAAGGAGAAAATGAGTAAAAGGAGGAGGGAGGAGGGGAGAAGGAGGAGAGGAGGAGGAGGAGGAGGAGGAAGAAGAAGAAGAAGAAGAAGAAGAAGAAGAAGAAGAAGTAGGAGGAGGAGGTGAAGGAAGAAGAAGAAGAAGAAGAAGAAGAAGAAGAAGAAGAAGAAGAAGAAGAAGAAGAAGAAGAAGAAGAAGAAGAAGAGAAGAAGAAGAAGGAGAAGAGAAGAAGAAGAAGAAGAGGAGGAGGAGGAGGGCCGTCGATGACAACACAGCAACGAAGTAGAATTGGGGAAGAAGGATGGACAAGTAAACACAATAAAAAGGGGATACGTAGATGGAGGATTGCGAGAAATTGGGGAATTGGCAAGGACAGAAAAAGACGAACAGAAAATAGGGTTCTGAAAATCGATCGAAAAAAGAGAGAATAAAAATATCCGAATGAGGCGGAAGGAATCGAGAAAGATCTTGAGACACGCAAAAGAAATGACGAAGCAAGGGAGAGAGAAGAGAACGAGAGAGTCTGGGAAAGGAATGAGGGGAGAGAAGGAGAGGGAGAGAGAAGGAAAAGAGGGAGGAGGGGAGGAATCAGAGAGAGAGAGAGAGAGAGAGAGGAGAGAGAGAGAGAGAGAGAGAGAGAGAGAGAGAGAGAGAGAGAGAGAGAGAGAGAGAGAGAGAGAGAGAGGGACAATGACAAAAAAAAAAATGCAACACAAACAAACAAAAAGTTTAACCAAACGGCAGATTCAGAGAGTGTATTGATTTTGGGTAAACCCTCCTCCTCCTCCTCCCTCTCCCCTCTCCCCTCTTCTCCCTGTCTCTCTCTCTCTCTCTCTCCTTTATCTCCCCTCACTTTGTATTCTCCCCCCTCTCCCTATCTCCCTCCTTTCGTGAATTTACCTTATCCTTTCACTGAAGACTTGAGTTGTCCAAAGCTGCGGCGTTCATGGTAGATCCACCTTTTTTTCAGTTTTTTTCTTTTCCTTTTCGCTTTCCGTTCTGTTCTGTTCTTCCGGCGCTATGGCATCTCGGGAGCGCCACGGAGAAGAGGTTTCCTTTCTATCCAAACACCTTTAAGCTAAAATGCGCAGCTGTTTCAAGCGCGAACTGCGGGGGCCTCTTTCATTCCTCTCTCTCTATTCTCTCTCTTTATCGCTTATCGCTTCTCGTCTTCGAATTTCTCTTATCGATCCCCCCTCGGAGCTGTCTGTGACACCAAATGCTTTACAAATTTACACCAAGGAGCTTGCACAACAAACGATTTTTTTGTATTATTATTTTTTTCCAATCAACCTCTCCTTCTCACGAGAATAAATGAAATAAGACAATGCAACAGGAATTCCTAGGAGCCGCCGCTGCCCCGGGGACTCGCCACTCCCGAAGCGACACAAGCACCACCACCGCCGAGAACGACACTATATCCACAGCGACGAGGACTGGCCTGAGAGCCTTGGCCGAGGACGAGAGCGCACGCGG